GTGTCCCCTTCATCTTTCTGCCTCCTCCCTTTTGACCTTACTCTCCTGAAGACCTGAATGTGCGACTCTAGCCTCTCAGCCCTTTGCTTGAACTTTGACCCCTGGAGGCAGGGCCGTCACCGGGGGAGGTCTAGCCCCAGGCTCTGATTCTGAGCAGCTTAACTGGTTGAGATCTTCCCACCCTCCCTTGGCAAGTGGAAGCGCCTGGGGCTGTCTTTCTGCTGCTGGGACTCACTGCATACCCGGAGCTGAAGCCCCGCCTGCCCGCCAGCCCGCCTGCCCGCCTGCCCTCGGGGCTGCCCGCCCCTCTTCTGATCCCCTTTGTGGGAGTGAGACTTGACAGATCAGGGTCCAGACTACATCTCCCAGCGTGCCTGACAGAGTGGTGGCCTCTGTGCGTCGGCTGCATCGGTCACAGGCCACAATGCAGCGGGCAGTGAGCGTGGTGGCCCGTCTGGGCTTGCGTGGGCAGGTGCTCCCCTCAGTCCCCGGCCGTCCGATCAGTGGCTCACAGGTGGGATAGAGGGTGCTGGGGCGTGGTGTCAATCTTGGAGGGTTGGGGGAAGGAGGGGACTGGGGGCTGGAGCCCTGGTGGCACTGAGCCCGGCCGCCCGCAGGACGCGCTCCGCAGGACACCACTCTATGACTTCCACTTGGCCCACGGCGGAAAGATGGTAGCGTTCGCAGGCTGGAGTTTGCCCGTGCAGTACCGGGACAGCCACATTGACTCGCACCTCCACACACGCCAGCACTGCTCGCTCTTTGATGTGTCCCACATGCTACAGGTGAGCCAGGGGACCGCTCCGGCCTCCAGCGCTTCCTCCCTGGCCACAGTGGTGCCACCCTTGGCTTTGTTTGCTGGGAGCTGGATTCCAAGGGCTGCCCTCTCAGAAGAGTTGGAGATCTCAGGGGTGTCACAGACTGTGACCCCCAGGAAGTTAATTCAGAGGGTCACCTGATTGGCTCTTCTCTCATCTCTCCAGCCTGTTCCCACTTAGTGTCCTGGGTTTTCCAGGGATGGCAAAGTTTTACCCACTCTCCTGGGTATTGGTTTGGAAAGGGGGGTATTTCAGGGAGGCACTGGGCCCTTTCAAATTTCCTAACCTCCCCCATTACACTCCCTCCTATATTGGCAGATGTGGGAGAATCAGAAGGTGGGGACTTTGCCACCTGCAGAACCAAAAACTAGTCACTTTGGCTGGGTTGGACTGTGCCGTGGAAGGCAGGGAGGATGCCGCCTTGACCAGTGGCCTTCCAGATTGGAGCTATTGCAGTGTCCTGAGGCTTTTCATCTTTTTCTCAGACCAAGATATACGGCCGTGACCGGGTGAAGCTGATGGAGAGTCTAGTGGTTGGAGATATTGCAGAGCTGAGGCCTAACCAGGTGGACCCCTCTTTTGCTCAATGGGCGTTCTTAGTCATGAGCCAGCAAACCGGCTGAGTCCCTACTTTGGGCTTGGGGGCACGGTGATGGGTCAGACCATCTGCAGGGATGGGCCTATCCCATCCTCACCACATCAGGCTGGGAGGCCCAGGTTCATGTCCTGTTCTGAGGCCTTCCATGCTGCCTAACCCCTTGCAATCAAAGTGTAGTCCCTAAACCAGCAGCTTCATTATCACCTAGGAGCTTGTTAGGAACAGACTCTCAGGCCCTGCTCCAGACCTTTTGAATCAGAGCCTGCATTTTAACAAGATCCCCAGGTGATTCACATGACCTCTCAGCCTCAGGCTCTTCCATCAGTGGGGAGGCTGAGGCCAGCCTCACAGTGTTTAGGGGTGTTGCTGCTGTGGAGCTCTTGAGCTCATCAAGATGGACTTGGAAGCTTCTGTCCTGGGGTTTGGAGCATGGACTGAGTCGTCAGGTTTGGGTGGGATAAAGCAGCAAGTCCTGGGTACCATGGATTAAGCGTGAGATGGGGCTCTCAGTACTGAGTGGGGAGGGGTGCAGAGGCCCTACTAGTTTAGGGAGGTCCCCCGAGGTGGGGAAGGGGTGAAAACGTTCCCAGTGCATGGGGTCAAACACCCTGGGCTCGGGCAGGGTCCCGGGGTGACCCAGCCTTACTCCTTGCATGCCGGTCCCCCCAGCCCTATGCATGAGGGCTCGAGTTTGTGGGGGCTGAGTGGGCTCCTTGGTGTGTCTGACTCACACTTGACGTTGGCCTCCTCGACCTGAGTGCAAAGTTGTTCTACTTTGGTGGTAGGGGACACTGTCACTGTTTACCAATGAAGCTGGTGGCATCTTAGATGACTTGATTGTGACCAACACCTCTGAGGGATACCTGTATGTGGTGTCCAATGCTGGCTGCTGGGACAAGGACTTGGCCCTCATGCAGGTACAGCCCCTTTGTGTTCTAGGTACCCCATCTTACGGAGCAGCTTCCTGCTGTCCAGGACAGGCCTGGTAGGGACAGGGGGCTCAGACAATAGCTCTGAGTGAATGAGCAGCAGGCCAGAGTGGGCCCTCCCTGGAAAATGCCAGGTTTCACTGGGGGAGGTGGGGAGGTGAAGCTGACCCTGGCCCCTAGGTGAGCATCCTCTGGTGAGGGCGGAGGGCTGGAGCATGGTGTCAGAGCTGGAAGACTTGGGCTTGGGTCATCCCTACCACCTATACGACCTTGTAAGATGAGAACCAGCCTACTCTGCCGAGCTTTGCAACACCTGGAAATGGCCCCCGAAGCCGATGTGGTGTTTTGTCTTTCCATTCAGGACAAGATCAGGGAGCTTCAGAACACGGGCAGTGATGTGGGCCTGGAGGTGGTGGATAATGCCCTGCTAGCCCTGCAAGGTGAGCGGCCAGGCTGGGGCTGGAGATGAACTTTGCCTTCCTGGCTTCCTCCGCTGCTTAGCAGAGGCTGTAGCAGGAAGAAGGTGTGGGTGGTGTGAGGTTTGTACGTCATATTCTAAGCTGGGTGTCATGCCCTCCCTCGACCGGCCCCAAGGCTCTATGGGCTGTGAGGCAAGAGCATCTCCTTCTACCCGCAGTGGAGAACTTGATCAGGGCTTGTTCTGGTCCTGAGTAAGGGCTGCAGTCCAGCTTTGAGGGGCACTGGGACCTGGACACTTGGTCACTGGCTCCCTCGGCCCAGGTCCCACTGCGGCCCAGGTGCTACAGGCCGGTGTGACAGATGATCTGAGGAAACTGCCTTTCATGACCAGTGCTGTGATGGAGGTATTTGGCGTGTCCAGCTGCCGCGTGACCCGTTGTGGCTACACGGGAGAGGATGGTGTGGAGGTGTGTCAAGAAGTGGGAGCAGGGTAGTAGTGCAGGGCACAGGACTCGGGCCAGCAGCCCACCTGCTCCCTCGTGCCCCCTGTAGATCTCAGTGCCAGTAGCGGGGGCTGTCTGCCTAGCAAGAGCTCTGCTGGAAAACCCAGAGGTGAAGCTGGCAGGGCTGGCAGCCCGGGACAGCCTGCGCCTGGAGGCAGGCCTCTGCCTGTATGGGAACGACATCAATGAACACACCACACCTGTGGAAGGGGGCCTCAGCTGGACTTTGGGTGAGCTGGGCTTGCACTCAGGGGTAGGATCCTGAAGGCTGAGTGGCCCTGAATGAGGCCAGCCAGCCTCTGGCTGATCCTGAGGTTGTGTAGCCTGGAGCCAGTGACCCAGCCTCCCCCAGCCTCCATTCCCTGCAGGTGTTACTGTAACTTTACCCATTAAATGCTGGGGACCCCCGGCAGGCTGAGAGGGGCAGCATGGCCGCGAGGGGGCAGGAGATGGGTGGCTGACTGACTACATGGCAGGGGAGGAATAGGGCCTATGGGAGTCCAAGGGAAGGGGCCTCAATGCTGATGGATGTCACTTGGGGCCCTTGTAGCTAGGACCACCTGTGGCCAGGGGTTCTCTGGACTGTGGCTTAAGTCTGGTGTGTCATGTTCCAGGAAAGCGCCGCCGAGCTACCATGGACTTTCCCGGAGCTGCAGTTATTGCTCCCCAGCTGAAGGGCAAGGTGCAGCGGAGGCGTGTGGGGTTAATGTGTGAAGGAGCTCCTATGCGGGCACACAGCCCCATCCTGAGTATGGAGGGCACCGTGATTGGTAGGTGGATCAGGGAGGTTGGAGAGCTCTTGCCCCTTCCCCAGGAGGGTGGGGGAACTGGCCTGCTAGGGTGGTGCTGACACACGGTCTCTGCCTGGACAGGTACTGTGACCAGTGGCTGCCCTTCCCCCTGCCTGAAGAAGAATGTGGCGATGGGCTATGTACCCTCTGAGTATAGTCGGCTAGGTACCCCACTCCTGGTAGAGGTGCGGCGGAAGCAGCAGATGGCTGTGGTCAGCAAGATGCCCTTTGTGCCCACAAACTATTATACCCTCAAGTGAGGTGGCTTGGGCTGGGCCCTCTGCTGGAGGGCATTCTACAAGGGGTTAGTCAGGAAGCTGAGGCAGAACACACTGGGGGGTAGGTGGCGAGGGTGTAGGCTGGCTCTGGTTGTCTGGTTGGGGGGGGACATACCACCTACACCCCCTCCTCCTGTGCCATTTCAATTTCAAGACCAATTACTCAGTGATAGACCAGTTCACCCAATGTCTTTCTCAGCCCATACCCCACAGACCCCCCCCCTTGCCTGTGGAGGGCTATGAGAAGCCTCAATCCTGGCATCTCCACTCTGCCAGGTGCTGGCTGTGCCACAAAGCTCACCTTTAGCAGGGTAAGGCCTGCCCGACCTACCTCACCATGGTTTCTCACACTGCAGAGGGTCATTACCTTGGGCAGTGCCAGCCACCTCCTCTAGTTTACTTCCATGAATGCAGACTGCTGCCTCTCCCTGGGCAGGAGTAATTCCTGGCTCACAGAGGCTTAGCCCAGTAGGGCTGCTGTGCCTGTGTGTAAACTCGGGGATGGTTGAGGGGGCATGGACTTACTCTCCTACATTCCCAAGTTGGCCCAGCCTGCTGCCCAGCAGCAAACCATGCCAGGCTCACCACCTGTTCTGAGCCCCAGGGCTGTTGTAGGGCAGGCTGGGCCTCCTCCTGAACTTGCCTTACCCTGGGCTGGCCTTTGCCCTGCGGCCCATTACTGGACTCCACTGACTGTTAAAAAAAAACATTAAACGAGCTTTCTTTCTTGCCAGAGTCTAGCTTCAGTGTCCTTTGCCCACAGGGTTCCTGGGGTGTCATCCCAATGCCTTCCTGGCCTCTGAAACAGGCTCACCATGGGTTCCCCTAGAGAGGGGTAGGCCTATAAGAACTAAAGGGGTAGTGCAGTGTTGGGCACCCAGCACTGCACCTTTAGGGAGCTGGCATCCACCCGCCAAGTTTGCAAGTCATTAAGTTCTGGTTGCTGAGGGGCAACAGCCCCTGGGTGTTCTTTCCAGTTTCCCCTGAGCATGCACACCTTTCTCCTGTCTGAATAACCACACAACTGGTGCACTTCCATGTTTAATAAGCCACGTCCTCAGTTGAGCCTGGCGTGGAATGTGAGACTCTGTGTGTTGTGGTGTCAGCGGGTAGACCTGGGGCTGCAAAACCTTTATCCTGCCAGCCAGAAGGTAACTCTGCAAGTAAGTACCTGTGCAAGAGCTCAGTGTGGTCCTACCTCCAGTGCACCTCCGTGCAAGGATGATCTAGGCAAAGGCTGCCAAATGGAAATGTGGCATCTAACAGAGCAGAAAGAAGTACAGGGAGGGAGACAGGTCTAGGGCCACACTACCTTTGGGAACTGGCGTTTGCCACCCATACTTTTGGAAGATCCCCTGGCCTATTTTGGAAGTGGCTAGGCCTGCCTAACCTGTGGCTCTGCCCTCTTAAGGGTTCTTGGGGGCTGAGATGGTGCTAATGGAGAGGAGCTGAGCCTGTGGGATCTTAGGATGAAGCTCCTGTGGTTCCAGGTGAAGATGGGAAGTCATGAGGCTGCAGGGCAGGTGGGCTTGCTCTGCACTAACTGCTTAGAATCTCTCTGAGGGGGCAGGGTACAGACCCACAACCCCACGGGCACTTAAGTGGTGGGGATGGGAAGTCATTCCTGAGGCTCAGTCTCTTTCAGGCACCGTTTTCTTCCAAGAAGGATTGAGAGGAATATGAGAATGATGCTCAGGATAAGACAATTTCCATAGCCAGGCGCATACCTGGAGAGCTCTGGATGGGATAGGAAGGTGGGTGTTTGGTGTCTCCATGTCTGGATGGTGCCATCTGCCCCCTGCCTTATACTTGAATGGCCAGCTAAGTAACCATAGAGTGTAAGGCTATGTCCAGGCCAAGATTCCTAGCTCCCTGCCAACAGCAAAACCAAATTCTGAAAACCTAGGGCTTAGGGGAAAACAGACTTCCCTTACAAATCCCAGAGCTAGTCAACCTCAGGCTTTCTCTCAGAGGGACAGATCTCTATGGGGTCACACCCCAGGGGGATGGGAAGAGGGAGAGGGAAAAACCAAGACAGGAAATGGACTGCTGGCCTTCCTAACCCAGAGGCTTCTCCTAAACTGACCCCTGAGAGAGGAGGATCATGCCTTCTCTCCTTAAGGCACCCAGATCAGGGTAGAGGCAAACTCTTTACTGGCTCAGTGCCAGGGCCTGCTGGAGGAAATGCCAAGGGCAGTGGAGGCCCAACTCCACAAGCACTGGGGTACTCCCTACCCCCCAACCCTGACCCCCCTGCAGTCATCCCTGGGGTCTGGGCAGCAGTAGAACCCAGTGTGGGAGCCAGCAGACCCGGTGATGTCCCTGGAGACCCCTCTGCTGCCTTCCCTTATTCTCTGTGGGTTTTGAGAGGTTCATTTGTTGCTGTTTCCCTAAAAGTGATGGAGAGAAGAGAGAGGGGTTATTCCGCGGGCAGCACAACAGTCCCTGAGATTGGCTTTCTCTAGCTTCTTCTAGTAGCTGAGTGGAGCTCAGTAAGGCCACACTACAATCTAACTTCTGCTGAGCTCCCACAGCACACATTGGGCCCACCACCTTTCCCCTACAGACTCATTCTTCCTCCTGCCTCCTGGTCCCCACCTTATGATGGTTCTCCCATCCTTCCCCATTTGCCCAAGAAAAAAACCTTGGCAGTGCCAAGTCTCCTGATTGTCCTCTTGCCCTCTCTAATTGGATACCTTTATGTACTTGCCACAAGGCAGGCAGATAAAAAGGCAAATTAGATTAGGCCACGGCCTAATCACGGCTGAGTCTTTCAATAGCTCCCCAAAGTCTGGGGCTTTGCTGGTCCCTCCATGCCTTCATATTTGAACTCCAGCATCACAGCCTTGTTTATTCCTCCAATATGTCACCTCTGGGCCTGGTCTAGCCATTCTCTTTGCCTGGTACACTTTAGCACACCTTGGCCTTTGCCCTCAGCTTAAATGTCTCTCTTTAGAGAAACTTCTGACCACCCTCACCCCTGAACTGCTATCCTCCCCTTTCAAATCTCTGGCTCCCCCTGTAAGCAGGGCCTGGGTTGTCCTTGTTCTCTGGTCCCTGCCATGTGGTAGGAGCTCAGAGATTAGCTGACAGAATGCCCTGATTAATGAATTCATGCTTTACAGACGAGTAGGCTGACCCTGATGAGGCCAGTCAGCGCACTAAGAACAGAGGCTCCGGCCTTCCCAACTGAGGGGTTTGCAGTGGAGTGGAGCCCAAGGGACTTGCCATTTCATCTCTGAAATTACGAATAACATGGTCCACCCCGCAGGTTGCTGAACAGCAAACTGATGGACTGTTCAGACATCCTTGTCACTTGAAACCTGAGCTCTACTTGCAGATCTTGGAGCTTCCTTCAAAGGCCACTAAGCTGGAAGACTCCTACCCTGAGAATTCCCCTCCCCAGTCCCCAGCACAGGAGTGTGTTTCTGCCTGCCTAGCACGGGGTTGAGATGGGAACAGATTTACTCACCACGAAGGGAAATGCGTGGAGCCATCAGGCGTGGATCCGTTCTGGCCGCCCAGACCTGGGGGCAGGAACACATCCAGAGCTGCAGCAGGCTGGGTTGGGGATCTGAGCAGGCATGAGCCCAGGTCAGGTTAGAGGCTAGTGGAATTTGGTGGAGAATCTGGCGGGGGACCTATGGAACTAGTGGTATTGTCTGGTGAGGGTTCAAAAGAAAAATTATAATGTGATGGGTGGACTACTGGCGTTTCTTGCGTGAAACGGCACGTTGGCAGGGGTCAGAGTACAGCGTTAAGTTGCGATACGGTTCTTAGGGGACCAATGGTAGTCTAAGGGGGTTCTGGGGAGCGCAATGGTACAGTCCGACGGGTGTGAGGGCGGCCAGTCCACGGAGGTTGGTGGGGAGCCTCACCTGGGCGATGATACAGCCCGGTCACCGTGCTCCCGTAGAACCCCCACGCCAGCTGGATGGCCAGGAGACTTAACACCAACCACAGCAACAGCAACTTGAAGAGGGTCACACGCATGTCCTGCGCCTCCCACTCCCGCAGGAACTCGCTGCCCAGGGCGCCCAGAGCGCCCAGCACCGAGGCCGGCAGAGCCTGCAAGGACTGCCCAGACCAGGACTCCGCCATGACTGCTCCGCGCCCCTCCCGGAGGGCTGTCACCGTGGTCCCCCACTGCGCAGGCGTCTGGTCTTCCGGCGCCGAGCCCGTTAGGGCGCACGCGTCAACCTAGGCAAAGCGAGCCCAACCCGCCTGCGCGAAGAGTTGGCAGTTTGGGAGGAGTGTTAAAACGGCGCACGCGCACCTAGCCCCACCCTGCTTACTTAAAGGATGAGTGACTCCGGGAGCACAAAATAGCAACCAGGTCTTTTATAGCCCCGGAGTTCCCGTGATGCCTCACGCGGCTGCAGTTATTGGTTAAGTGCCTCGCTTCTAGGGCGTGGACACGCAGCTGAGCAATCGTGGCTGA